GTGTGTGTGTGTATATATATATATATATATATATATATATATACAAATACAATTTGACCTGTGATCATTTACCTTAATTTTAACCTGACAGGAATAAAATTACTTTCTAAATTGCCATGGAGGACCAAAAAAATGTCTCTGGGCAGGTGGATCACCTATCTATTTCCCTCTCTCCCTCCCTCTTTCCTATTGCTTGATCAATAAGCTGTTTTCCTTTCAGAGAAACATATTTTGGATTCCTGTTATTTTGCAGGACACAAAGACAAATGCCATTTCCCTTGGCTTCTTAATACTGAGAGGGCAATATGTGCTGCATGAGGAATGATAGCCAAGAACATCTCAGGCCCCATAGAGATTGTCATGGATGTGCATTACCATCTCTTCCTGGCTAGAAGTATCCAGGTTTGCCTTAAAATCTGAGCAGTGGCCTCATGCTATGGGTTGTATGACAGGTTAGTGGCAATGTGATTCAGACACAGGAAATCAAACTGATGAGGATAGAATGCAGAGAGTTGCAGGAGGTAGATTTTATAGACGAAATCCTGGCTGGATTTTTCAATAGTACCACAGAAGCACTGGTTCTGAACCTTCTTCGTTCTAAAATATTTTCTAGTCTTTAAGGTGAAAGAAATTTCAGCTTATTTTCTTTTCACTGAGTGTTTGGGTGAAGGAGGAAAACTGTGGAAACATTTTTAGGAGAAATACTATTTTATAAATTACTTCTTAGGAGGACTCACTCACTGCCATATCAAAAAAGATCTTGAAGAAGAAGATGTTAAATTTTGCTGTCCTTGACTTCTCATTACAAATTACTAGTCAGTATAGATCACAGTGTAGGGAAGAAGAATAATTATGTAACAAGTATGTTACTACTACCCTGAGGAAAGAAAGGACCAGAAAACAGAGGATGTCAACAGGTAAAGGATATAAAAGTTGTCAAGCATCATTTATCTTATAATTTTTTTGACATAAGGAGGCTATCAATGGGGGGTGGGGATAAGCACACCTCTTCCATAGCACTGATAAGATTCTGGGTGGACTTGCTGATTTCACCCCCAGCAGGAGGCATTCCACTCCCTGGGGTGAAGAAGGCTGTGCTGGGTCCTGGGTGGCCATTCATTTCCACGGTATAGCTGGCCTTCATAGGGCAACACATTTGGTTGTGTAGAATGAAATAGACCACAAAAACATAAAGTCCCTGCAAAAGAAAAAAAAACATTAATATGTCAAAGGAAGTTCTGCCATTACACTGGAGAATAAACACATTTGCATGCAGAATTGATTTTCTACAAATGTTCTCCAAATTCTATGAAAAGCCAAGAATTCTAGAACATATTAGCAGTATAGCAAGAGGCCACTGTAAATCCAAATGTCACAAAATGTTCATCAATGTCCTTTAGGAGAACTCACTTTTCACTGATAAAATAGCTTTCTATCTTGGTTAAAATATAAGCCCTACAAATACATGAAAGTAAATAGAATGGTAGAGGTATTTCTAATTAGCTGTGTACATTTTGCTTTAGAAAACAAACCTCTTGGCATGGTTAGGACTTGCCTCCGCAAGACAGTGGTTGGTTTCCAGGAACTCAAGATGGGAGCATTTCCAAAATGTGAAGCTATTCCACTGTGGGTGAAAGTTCTGAAGACCTGAGAGATCCAGTGATGTTCCAGGTCCAAATGCAACTGCTGGAAGCCCTGCTCGGTCTGCATGGATCTTGAATCCCTTACAGTAAGCAAGCGAGGAAGGCCATGCTCTAGCAGAAGGCTCTGGAATCTTCAGATCCCCTAAGGTCGTGGTTTATGGCTCCCACTTGTTGAGCCCCAGATCAAGTGGATGCTTCAATCCCTGGCTGAGTGGCAGCACCAGTGGCAAAAGCCAGGAATGCTCAAACTTGGGGAAGCCATGAATACCCTTCCAACTAAGCCCTTGGATGAAGTGAAGCCAGTTTCCAGCCAATGTGATTGGAACCCATATGTAGAGACTAGGTTGTGGCAAGAGCTGGAGTGAGGCTGGCTTGTTTTAAACTCTGCTGTAACCTCTACAAAAGAGGTAGGGGAAAACCATGTATTTTGGAGTCTCTGTCTTGCTCTGAGTCTTAATGTGTATTTCTCTTTGTTCTTTCTAATGAAAGAACAAAGTTTTAAAAAAGGGAAGGGGAAAAAAAAAGCAAGCAAATCTTTTGTCTTCTATAAAATGACCATCTTTTCCCATCTATCTCACTTTTTCTCACCCTCTCTCTTAGTAAAATGGTTGAAGTGGGAGTACCTAATGATCCACTCACATTGTGAATATCTGGAAGGGCAGTATTAACTGAGCCTCCTAATTTCCTTTGTGTGTCTCACCTACTTATCGCATTTGGAAGTACAATCACTGGGTAGGGACTCCGAGGAATTCATTGGATTGCTTAATATTTAGCATGCCTTGCTTCTCAGTACATGTTATGTAAGAATAATAAAGCTATCTTATGCATTCTTCGAGAGCTGCCGGCCCTTTAAATTCTTTTGCAATCTGATCAAACTCTTGACAATGTCTATGCTGACGTCACAGATAGCAATTCACATTCTGCATTTGTGTTCTAGACATTCCACACTGGCTCTCCTTCATGATTTCTACAAGGGTTCCACTGTATACTTGTAATGGTGCTTCTATAAAGCTTGGTAATTTTGACCTTTACAATCAGCCAATAAATGTGTTAAATCATGCCTTTTGTATCTGTTCATCCTGGTGTTTTACTTTTTGGATGCAGAATTCTTAAATCAATACACAAAGATATACTCAAGACATGCAGCTGATTAAAGACCAAATACTTAACCTCAAGATTTTTTGGAAAACATGAATAAGTGTCTTCATTTTGTGAAATCTGTACTCTCCTATGGTTGCTAATATTTCTAAGAGTGTAGAAGCAACAATACACTTGTGAGCCTGAATCCCCAACACCCTTGTTTTGGGAACTAAACCCAAGGACTTGCATATGCTAAGCATGTGTTCTACCACTGAGCAACATCCCCAGTAACATGAACCTGAAACTTTTATCTATGGGTATAAATAGTAAAAAGTCTATTAGAAAACACCCAAGGCTTAAGAATTGCAAATAATTTTTATGTAAAATGAAATTAGAGGACAGTACAAAAGGTACACATACTAGCATTTGATCTCTGCTGCCATTTCTGGAATACTGTGATAATTTAAGCCTTTCTCCCCTTTCTATCAAAATGATGCCTTCTTGGGTTGTGGTATTATTAAATTAAAATCAATGCTGTAGCTGCTAAAAATATTTTTGAAAGCCATTTCTCTAAACCATATAAACATTTGTTTTCATTTTTATTTACCATTTATTTATTAGGGTTGTTTGTTCTTTTGGAAACAATCTTCTAAGTTAGGTAAATAAATTTGCTTCATGTCCAAATGATGTTGTGAGTAGCAACAGAAGAAAAATCTTCCTGAAAACACTCATACACATCCAAATTTTTTCTTGTACGACTAACTTTTCACATGGCTATGACCTAATTGCATTGGCCACAGCAATAGACAAAACAGGAAAAAATTTAAACTGTCAGCCTTAAAAACTGTGCAAATGTTACTGATTTATTTTAGGATTTCTGAAGTGATAGGGTAAAAGCTGGATCAGGAAACAAAACCCATGCTTTAAAACTCATCTCTAAGGACCCATTTGTTAAAACTGCACATTCTCTCTCTTGTTTGTTTTTCTATCTAGCCTTTTGTGCTTCAGGAAAGGAACTGCCTGCTGAAAATAACTTGCATGTGAAAACTATATTTTTTTTTCTTAAAAGCATAGAAATATACAGTAAATATTTTGAAACTTTTAGATGTGCCCCAGGAAACATAAACACTGTTAAAATGGAAAGGAAAGAATGTATAAATGCAGATTGTATGACATGTGCCTGTGTCCAGACCAGGCAGGGCAAATATAGAAAAAGGACCTTCATTATCCAAAGTACTCAGCTGTGGAGGTTTCTGACCTCAGACTAAAAACAAGTTCCCATTCCAAATACTGTTGGATCTCAAGCTCTCATGTGTATGCTGATCTGGAAAGGAATTCTAAGAGAGAATCTGGAGTCTCACTTATTTGGTCCAATATTGCTGATTACCCATCAGGCACTGAGAAGCAAGGAAAAGACATTTGGCTCCTGCTCTCTAGCTGCTCATGAATACAGCGATGTCTTACCAAGTAACAAGTTAACTGTTTCAGAAGCAGGACATATATAATCCATCTGTGCTTCCTATTCCTTACCACAAAGGCTTAAAAGGAAGAGAATTCTTTCTATGTACTGTCTTTCACTTTGTTGGTCCTCCTATTACAATCATGAAAAATGTTTTCAAAAGTCTTTAGATTATATCTGGATTGATCCTCATCATGACCAATTCTGTATTTCTTTTCTTTTTATCTTTTTTTTTCTTTCTTTCTGTACTAGAGATGGTACTCAGGGCCTTGCGAATGCTAGGCAAGTGCTCACCCACTGAGCTATATCCCCAGATATTTTACTTTTAAGACAGTCTCCACAAATAGCCAGGCTGGCTTTGAACTGAACTTTGGATCTTATGCCTAAGACTTACGAGTAGCTTAGATCACAGGTTTGTGCCACAACACCTGGCAATTCTGCATTTCTTTTGAGGTGGAAATTAAAACTTATTATCCAACATTCAGTGAAACACAAATGATAGTCTAAATGATTATAAGTACTCTTCAAATCACTAAGGAGCACAAAAAGCACAGGAGATTCTGGTTGCCATCTCAATAATTTCTATCAGTACCATAGTACCATGGCGCAAATTTAACATGAAGCAGTAGTAGAGAAGTGGTTAAAACAGGAAGGTGATTCACCTGGGTTTTACATTTCTGAGATCATTTTACAAGTTCTCCAAGGCTTAACAACTCCTAGTGAGGGATGCCTAGGTTTCAGATGAGCTTTCCTAATCAGGCACATCCTTCAGAAACAGTGCAGAATAAGACACTCAGAATAAATGGTATCTCCATTGGAACTGATCTTTCTGCAGCTCAAAGATTACAAAATTGGGTTTAAAAAGAGAGAAGAGCAAGGATGACTCCTATTAAACTGCAAACTTCCAAAAAGTAAGAGACCACACCCAATTCACTATATTGTATTTTTTAAACTTATAGTGTGATCTCTAGCTTGTAGGTGGAGCTTAAGAAATATTTGTTAAATAAAAGACAATGGTTTTAAATTTTCATCAGTGAGAGAGAATAGGAGAGGTGAGGACAGACAGATCTGAGGCCTGTGTTGGTTTCAGTCCCCTAATTCTTTTGAAACTATAGCCAGATGATTCAGGAGTTGTTCAGTACAACTTCTGGTTCCGCTCAGTCTTTCTGTTTTACATGTCACATGTGCCAGGACTCTTTATGGGAGAATGAAGTCTCCATGGCCAGGTTCTGTTCCTCTGGGTAGTGTCTGGCTGGAGGTGGGGCTGCTGTGTGCTAAACTCTCCCTCGGGTGACTGATAGGCTCTTCTACTGGGGCTTCTACTGGCTATCTCTGGCTTTTCTACTGGGGCTGGGTTTGCAGACTTCAGCTACTCTTTCTTATGGTCTTGCCCTCCCCTTCAGATGCCCCTGGGCATTCTCCATGATCCCTTGCTTTTGGCTTCCACCTGCTCTTGGGCTGCTGACCTGTCGCTGTTGTGCACCACCAGTGATTTAGCAGCAGACAATGAATTTCATCCCAATGGCAGACTTGAAAAGACAAATGCAGTGTCTCGGCATTTGTATTTCTTTTTAGGTGTGAGAGAAGTAGGAATTTCATCTTTAATTGATTCATCTTTTAAATTGTGCTTAGGTTTAATATTTAAAGTTACTTTTGTTAATAGTCTTATTTATAAGAACCCATAATCCAACTGTGTATTAAATATACAGAGAAAGGAAACAAGTGGGTTTACCTTGGTATTTGTTGGTTAGTAAGCACAACTGGAACACTTAGGAATCTTGGGGAGCAGTTACTGCTCAAGAACTTTTAAAAATATTTAAATGGGATAAATAATTACCAAATATTCACCAAAAACTATGTCAAGTTCTTCTGTAATTCCTTACTAGGTTAAGGAAAAGATAATGTATCTGAATAGATAACTTATCTATTCAGAACTAGTAAAGTCAAAACAGAAGTCTGTGGCTTTAGTCACGTTCATGACTAAATACGTGGGAAGCAGCAGGTCTTCAGTTTTTA